GATGCCCTACCAAGTAAATAGTGGTCAGAAGTCTTATATGACCAGTTCTCAGGCCTATGATGTGCTGCTCAAAAGTGGGATAAAGCAGCCACAGGGGTCTGGAAAAACTTCCTTTTGCACAAAAAGGAAGATGTATACCATCTTCAGATAATAAGATGATATTACATGCAGTACTTTTTTTAATTGTTTGGTGCCCACTTGACACTTCAACTTTTTATTAAGGAAAATTCAACCTTTTAACTCCAGCTAAAAGTGTGTGCATTTGGAGAGCACATACCTCTAGTTCTGATTTACAGAATTCTGTATGTTTCCATGATTCTCAAAGCAGGACATTCAAAGTCAGGGTTCTGCTTTTTGGAAATGTGATTTAAGGTGCACTAAAACTTTGGCTGTCTCTAGTGACACAGAGAAGAAAAATGAAAGTGGCTTTAAAAGCAAATTTGTTTTTAACTTAAATGTTTGTAATTTTGAACAGTTACAACTAGCATCCCTGTCTTGCATGGTGTCAGTATGAAGCAGAAATGAACAACAACCCTGCCTTTTAAAATTTGTAGGGCTTAACTGAACTTTTTTGGGACTTTATCCCTTACTTACATCTACATAAAGCTAGAAACATATCTGAAGATGAGAAGTAAAGCAGTTTGCTCCTTTACTTATATGTATCAGTTTATTTGCCATCAACAACACTATAACCATTCATGAGTTAAAGTAAGTATAGCTGTAGAAGCTTACACTAGCTTTTCTATCAAGTTTTGGAACAAGAGGAAAATAAAGCTTCTAAAGCCACACTTTTGTGGCACTAATCTAACTGTTTCTGGTGGGGAAATAATTAGAATGGAACTGAGTTTCTAGAAAATGTGTACTGCTAATTGAGGGCCCAATTCTTTAATTGGGAGAGCAGATGATACACTTTTACCTTGCCATTTAAAGAGTGAAAAAAGAGTCACTTTGAAACTTGGGGGACAACCAAAATAAATAACTCTTTCACATATGTGTGTGAAAGAGTTATTTATTTTGGCTGTCCCCCAAGTTTCAAAGTGACTCTTTTTTCACTCTTTAAATGGCAACTTATATATCACATCCAGTTCCTAAACAGATATGAACTGTTTTGTTTTTCTTTAAGGAGAAATTGGACACACGTATGTCCCTTTCATTATGAGTACTCAGTCTACTCCTGCATCTAGCTGCAGTACCCTTGGTATTGTCATGAGAGTAACTACAAACACCCCTTTTTATGTCCTGTGGAGTCAGTCCAGGCTCAGCCTTTTCCCAGTCTAGCTGAGAATAGTCTTGCATAATTAGAAGATGCTTTTCTATGCTATGCTTGCTCTGATACCAGTTTGATTTTTTTTTCACTGTCTTAGAAATGGCTACTGTACGTAGGAACAGGTTGAGCAAGTCTGGGTTGGTTGTTTCACCTTGGAATGGAATGTTTGATCGAAACATTGTACATAGGCTCACAGGAGTCCAGGCCATGTTTCACACTAGGCTCATTTGCAGGCCTGTCTGTGTGGTGTCTGTGCTTTGAAAATAAGTGTAAAATACTGCATGTTGAGATGAAATAATCAATTTCTGCTGGTATCCTGAAAAATGACATACCCTCTTGCAAGCTCCCAGGTGCCTGAAGAGTACTCCAACAGTAGTGAAGCAAATGCTTTTGAATTTTGATAATATGAGCAATTTTATACTGTTAGTAAGCCAGATGTTTTCTTCTGCTAGTGGAGTTTGGTGCACACTGTGCTATGCTGGTGTGCAAGTGGGCTTGTGAGAAGAGGCAGTTTGCTGTGGTACCTTGCTGACTGTCAGTATTTCAGTGCCACAGACGTTCTTAATTTGAAATAAGTTCACTTCTGGCTCCTTCAGTTTGCTGGGGCTTTGAAGTGATTTGCTTTTCATGGCAGTGCATTTTTCTGGGTTTTTGTCCTAAACTTCAAAAACAGGAAAATGGCAATAAAAAAGACAACTTGAGCCAAAGGGCATGTCACATCCTGAAAGACCAGTTTCTCTCTTTTGAGCACTGCATTTTCATCATCTAGGTAAATAATTTTGAAAACCCGGGGGGTAGGTGGGCAGGCGCAAAACCTCCATGGATCAAAAGCTTGAGCGATGCCCTACCAGGTAAACAGTAGTCAGAAGTCTTATCTGACCAATTCTCAGGCCTGTGTGGCATGTGGACTTCTTTGCAACTTTGTTTATATGGATTCCCCATCCTGTCTACCTTCATTGTTTGGGGGTGGGGTGGGGATGTCTTCGGCTATCTCAGTCTTGCCCTGGTGATAAAACTGGAGGTATGTTTCCACTGTTCCATGCTCTAATGCGTTCTGCTTCTAGGGTATGTAGCATGCAGGTTGCAGTCCTAATCAATACTGCTGTTCAAGAACACTTATAGTCTTGGGTGTATGAGCTTCAGTTATAGAATAGTGGGGAAAATACATCCTTGTAAAATTAGAGCAACAGCTAACATAGGGGCCAATCCCTCTAGCTGAAGAAAGGAGTACTTCTGTCTTTACTTGGGAAGACTCCAGGTTGATTTCAGAGGGAATGCTGGAAGGCAGCTGAATAAAGGTATGGATTAAGTGGAAGCATAGCAATTCCACTTTGACACCTCTGGATATGACTAAACTTTTGTTTTGTTCTCAGTGCTTAAGAACTTTCTAAAGAAATTTCTTTAAAAAAACCCAAAAAACCGGCATATTTACAATAGGTCTGACTTTTGGTGCTGCACTAGATCTGCTCTTCAGTTAGAATTTAGCATTAAATCTTTCCTGTAAAGATCCAGCCAAACATCCTCTCTCTTCAGCTCTGAACTCCTGCTGATCATTGGTTTTGAACACTAAAAAATGCTTTGAAATAACTGTCTAGAACCTTAGATTTTTTTTTAGCTGTCTAGTCTTAAATTTATTGAAGGGATGTTCTACTAATCATCTTAAGTACTATTCCTCCAGTTAATTTGGCACCCACACATTCTGGATATCTTGGATGATAATCACTTGCTGAGAACTTAATTTTTTTTTTTTTTTAAACGGGATGTGTCAACCTCTAATAAACACCCAGCCTATTAAGCCATTTATGAACCTTTTAGCATAAGACTTTTAAACCTACTCTAAAATAGGCCTGTGCAAAGCAGCTAGTATTTACTTTGGGTTCGGCTGATTTTGGAGGAGAGCAATTCTATTTGGTGATTCGAATCACTGTCCTGAATAGATTTGGCCAAATCTCCAAATCAAATAGGCCCATTCCCTGCCCAGCCCTAGCATCCCAGCGCTTTGAGAGGAAGAAAAGAAAAAGCTCTGCACTCGCAAGCTCCTGCCAGGCTGGGGGGGGGGGCTGTCCCTACTGCCCCCCACTGCCCTGTGCTGTGGGGGGGCTCTGCCATGAACCCCCAGAAACCCTGAAGTTGCTGCAGCAGCTGGTAAGTGCAGAGCTCTTTTCTTTGAAGCTGGGGTCCAGCGGGGCATCCATTGATGGGGCTGGCAGAGTGGGCAGGGGTTGGGGGATGCTCAGGGAGGCTGAGGGAGCAAGCAGGGGTGAGGTCTAGTGGAGGTCCCCCCTCCATGGTTCCCTCCTCCTTCCCGCACTTACTGGCATGGAGTCGAGGTCCAGCTCACTGTGGTGGCTAGCAGGGACTGCCCAAATCTCTGAAAGTACTTGGAGAGCTTCAAATTGATTTTGGCCTTTTTTTATTGGTATCCCAATTCAATGTAGAGATTTGGCTGCTGAATCCCACCCGAATCGAATTGGCACCCAAAGCTTTGTACAGCCTTACTCTCTAAAGCACTTTCCTTCTCTGCCTTCCTGCCCTCCCCCTTTTTGAGGATTATTGCCTCAGCCACCAATACAAAGCAGGAACTGTGTATCCTGGGTGTTTCTACTTCCCATTAATCTAAAAACAAAACTTGAAGAAGAGGAATGCTCTGAAACTGAAGAGGCTTTTGGAGAGGAGAAAAAGGTCTTTCCTCCATTTTAGCCTGATTTAAAAACTGTATGTTTTCAGCTTCCATTTTCCCATATAAGTTTTGAATACAGACAAATCCTTGTAGTTCTATTGCCCTTAAACCCACAGGAGATTTAATTGATTAAAGAAAGGACCCAAATATTCTATTTTACTAAAATAAAAACGCATCCTCTGACCAAAAAAAAATATTGCTAAGATTCATGATAGCCTTCAGGCTAATTCTTAATTCAGTTTTTTTAAATGTTGTTGTCTGTCTGTTATCTTCCCAAGCATGCCTTGTAAATTGATATTGCTTTTAATGTTTTTGCATACAATTGGCATATATTGCATTAGTACAAACAATTCTAGCCTGTTAAAGTAGGCAGGTTTACTGCGCTACTTCGTCTAAAGGAGTTGAAATGTCAAGCTCTGTCCAACAGTCGGTACAGTTTTTAAAGTGCTTATTCTAATTTCCTTTTCATGCACAGATGCTTCTTTACAACAAATTCATTTATTCATAAGCAAGCTGGAGGTGGCTGTCTATATTATAGTAGACTTGCATAGAAATTGGTATTCATTGGCATTCCAATAGAAGCCCCTTGTTATATAACATAATGTTAGTCAGAATTTCATGGCTAGTAAAACTTTGATCTGTGAATTCAGTAAAACTTATTTAACACCAGTGTTGTCATATGGTTGGTTCTCTCTGGCTTGTCACTTTAACTAGCAAGCTTATTGAACCAAATTTTTCTGCAACTAGAACTTTGTGCAAGTAGATTAGTATCTGTGGAGCAGCACAGAATGTATTGCGGGGCGGGGGGGGAATGCTGTGTTGGTCTGCTGGAGCAAATCTTTCAGGAGTTCCAGCCTCTGGTATGTGAACCTGACAGGCATTCAGTAAAACTAAATGAAAACAGCTTCTTTGAACTTTGTCCTACAGTGGGCACTGTGAGAGCATGTTGACCTATCTGTTCTAATGCTGGAGGAGTTGGGTTAAATGCAAGAGCTTCTTGCCTAATACAACTTTAATTGGTTTGCCTAAGCAGTACATGTCTTTCCTCTCCAGCTGAGTATTGAACAGGCCCAAGCAGTGGCAGAGCAAGTTGAAATGAAAGCTAAAATGGTGCAGTCTGAAGTCAAAGCTGTGACAACTAGACATAAGAAGGCCCTGGAAGAAAGAGAGTGCGAACTGCTATGGAAGGTAAAAAGCAACTTAATTTACTTGAATTACTAATAAATAACCCTTAAGGTAGAAATTTGATCCTTTTTGAACTAGTAAATGGTCCTATTTCTGATAAGCCTTTGGACTAAGTATTTTAAATTTAAGTAATCTCATTGAAAATCTTCAGGATGAAGGTGATAGTCCCCACCAAAAGTGGGGTGGGGGTTATGTATGTGCTTGAGATAAAATAGAGGGACTGAGAATTGCAGGGAGCCCACTCTAGTAACCCACAAGCAATAGGGGAGGTCCCCCTGGGGACATGCAGCAATACATCGGAACCCTGGGAACCATCTTATCCCACCTGCAGCAATATTGAACAGAGTAGGCCTAACTTAACTGCAGGTGTTTATCCCCCTACACATTAAGCATACAATGAGTGGAGAGAACTATGCCCAGTCTGGTTTACTTACTAACATAAAATGAGAAATGGTGTCTATCTGATTTTAGAATAAATAAACGATCCAAAAAAGGGGGTGGTGGGAGGAGGGAGGATCAATTTTTTTCTTAATAACCAAAAGACCATTCCTTCCACTCATTGAAGAGGCCAGATCTTGGTAAAGGCCACACCTTTCTGTTGTAGCAAGCAGACACAATGTGGTATAGTGTTAATATACTGAAACATGTAAAAGCTACTTTTCACACTTGTCCAGACAGCCTTCTTTCTTTTGCCGTTTATCTTCAATAAAAAAGTCTGTGCAGACAGCTGTGACTAACCTACTTTTGTAGTCACAAGCGTTCACTTGCAAGAATGCCTCCATATTGCTTTTTGAAATAAAAATGTGGGCATTGCTTTCTGTAGTGATAACTTCTGGTCACTACAGCTAGTGAGCCATCAGAAACTATGCTTACTTTTATCATTGGCTGGCTGGTGCCAGCACATCTCTGAATTAAGGAATATGAAAAGGTAAAAATAAGAGGACACCACTTCACCACTGTCTTCCCACCTTCTCCTGCATGCTCAGTCTACAACAAGCTGCAGTCAAGGAGAGATTTTTATGGATGGTAGAACGACAAGTGACAGTTAGCAACAAGATATTCTGCAAGACGGGCCTAACACTAGTCTATACAAATCCATCTTGTTTTTAGGAAGATAGAGGAAAAACAAATTTCATAAACCAAGGAGGACTTAAAATATTTAAACTTGTAAGGCTTGAGCTGGTTTGTGAAAGTTGGTCAAACAGTGACTTGATTCTAAGGGATAGAGAGGAATTCCTGCAAGCCAGGAAGTATCTGTACTGGAGTCTAGTTGTGTTTTTTGTTTTCTTTGGGTTTTTTAAAGTAGTGATCTCTCCTTTTTCTGTTTAGGTCTAGCGATTGTAAAATTGACCTGAATGAGCAGCAAAATGTTTACAATTTCATTTTGACAATTAGTAATGTGTTTTTTCCAAGTTCAGTAGTCCAACAGAGTTGAATTTAACTATTTTCAAAGAATCATTAAAATTAATAGCAACTCCCTTCTCTTTTTTTTAACTGCTTAAACTCTTGATTTATATGTTTGGTTTATTATGTGCAAGATTATTTGAACAGTAAGACCTTTTGACAGTTTCGTTTGCCTGTTATGGGGCACTTTCTGTGTTGGAGGGAAACAGATTGCCAAGGAATGAGTAAATGTGCTTTTCTGGAACTTCCAAGGCACTACATGAAAATGTTTAGTGATATACTCCCATCATTTCCTCAACATAATGGTTATACTTGTTGTTAATTTTACAAGGAATAGGTTACTTGTATTGTTCCCACGCAAAACATTAAATGGTTTTAGCAAGTACTGATATCAAGTAATGAGGGAAAGTGTGCATGTACATATACCTGCATTTTTGTATACAGATGTCTCTGTAAAGTAGACCAACAGTTGTTTACAAGCCAATGTTTAAACCTTGGTGAATCAGTAATGTAAGGTGCTTTGTTATAAGGTAATTGGTTCCAAAATCTTTGTTTCGGTGCTTGCAGTCACAATATGTGCACAAACCATTTTTGATTTCATTGGTGTTATTAACACTATATTTTAGTTTAAAAAAAATAGCAGTGGATAAGTCCAATCTTCTAACAGCATACAGAAAGGCATCATTAAGGTGTTTTATTTTAGCCTACTTCCTATTATGTCAATAATGCTATCTCCTATGCCTGAGCTGCAGTGAGGATTGACCAGGCTTCTGTTTAAATGAGGTTGCTTCTGCTCTTCCAAGAACCCCTATGTGCCTGGAATATGGGATAACACAAAGGGAGACTTTCTCTTGGTTTTAAAAAAATGCTGATTTCAAGTGGCATGCCAATGTAGCCCCCTCTCATGGCAGAAAAAGGCATTCAGTGGGAAAGGGAAACAATGTTGAGTGCCTCTAGTAGAAGGAGTTACAATCCCTTAAGAAAACAAAAAAATCCATATTAAGATGCAACCTATATTAGGAAAAATTAAGTCAGCAGGGTGGATACTTTATTTAAATAAGTTTTTTATCTTGCAGAGTGCTCTTACTCTCTTCAATCTTCTCACCGCTATGGCAACAACAATTTTGCGCAAGATACTACTGTGAGGGAATATTTCTGTAGGATTCTGCTGCTTTAATATAGGCGTTATATCTTTTTGTCTTTTTTTTTAAGGTGGAAAAGATTCGTCAAGTCAAAGCTAAGTCGCTCTACTTGCAAGTTGAAAAGTTGCGTCAGAACCTGAATAAACTGGACAACACGATTAGTGCTGTTCAGCAGGTCCTAGAGGAGGGGCGCACCATAGATATTCTTCTGGCCCGGGACCGCATGCTGGCTCAGGTGCAGGAGCTGAAGAATGTGAGAGGCCTTCTGCAGCCCCAAGAGGATGACAGAATCATGTTCACACCTCCTGACCAGGCTTTGTACATGGCCATAAAATCAATGGGGTTTGTTAGCAGTGGGGCTTTTGCTCCTCTGACCAAAGCCACTGGGGAAGGTCTCAAACGTGCACTACAGGGCAAAGTGGCCTCCTTCACAGTGATGGGATACGACCATGATGGTGAGCCACGCCTTTCAGGAGGCGATATGATCTCTTCAGTGGTGATGGGCCCTGATGGAAACCTGTTTGGAGCCGATGTCAGTGATCAGCAAAATGGGACCTATGTGGTCAGTTACAGACCACAGCTGGAGGGAGAGCATCTTGTTTCAGTCATGATGTGCAACCAGCACATTGAGAACAGTCCATTCAAGGTCACGGTGAAATCTGGGCGCAGTTACATTGGCATTGGGCTACCAGGGCTTTCGTTTGGCAGTGAGGGAGATAGTGATGGCAAGCTGTGTCGTCCCTGGGGAGTCAGCGTAGACAAAGAGGGCTACATCATTGTTGCTGATCGCAGCAATAACCGAATTCAGGTGTTTAAGCCTTGTGGCACCTTTCACCACAAATTTGGCACGTTGGGCTCGCGGCCTGGCCAGTTTGATCGACCTGCGGGTGTTGCCTGTGACATCTCGCGTAGAATTGTTGTGGCTGACAAGGACAATCATCGCATCCAGATCTTCACATTTGAGGGGCAGTTCATTCTGAAATTTGGGGAGAAAGGAACCAAGAATGGGCAATTCAATTACCCGTGGGATGTGGCAGTCAACTCTGAAGGCAAAATCCTAGTCTCTGACACGAGGAACCACCGAGTTCAACTCTTCGGGCCTGACGGCGTGTTTCTGAATAAGTATGGCTTTGAAGGGGCACTCTGGAAGCACTTTGATTCCCCAAGGGGTGTGACTTTCAATCATGAGGGCCATTTAGTAGTCACAGATTTCAACAACCATCGCCTTTTGGTCATCCATCCAGATTGCCAGTCAGCACGCTTCCTTGGGTCAGAAGGCACTGGTAATGGCCAGTTCCTGCGCCCACAGGGTGTGGCAGTGGATCAAGAGGGGCGCATCATTGTGGCTGATTCTAGGAACCACCGAGTGCAGATATTTGAGTCCAATGGTAGCTTTTTATGCAAATTTGGCACTCAGGGAAGTGGCTTTGGTCAGATGGACCGTCCTTCGGGTATAGCAGTCACCCCTGATGGCATGATTGTTGTGGTCGACTTTGGAAACAATCGGATTCTTGTCTTCTAATTTGTTGTCTGAATTAGGAAGAAACTGTCTCAGGGAAATTCTTTTTTTCTTTTTCTTTTCTTTTTTTTAAGATAACGAAAAAATACAACGTTGATTCAAACCTACCTCATCTTTAATTTTTTTTACAGATGAATGTACTTCTTTTTTCTGCAGGGAGTGATCCTGTGAAGCTATAAAT